CAGGTGCCTTGGTAAAGCTTTATTGATGCTAACTGAAATAATTGCTTTTGGGAAAGGTTATTGGCAAGTATTTTGTCTTCTGTTTTTGATATAGCCAGACCGAGCTCTTAAATTTCACCAAAACCAAACAAGCTATTAATCTTGAAAGACAGTTTAGATTTGGTGGTTAAGAGTGGAAGTTCTGCTCTGTAGCTACACTCATGGTATTAGCTGTGTGACCTTGGGCAAGGTTACCCACCCTGTCTCTGTCTTGATGCCTTTATTCATGCAAATAGAGATGATAATAATAGTATCTACCTAATTGGGATGTTGAGAGTGTTAATTAATACTTTTAAAGAACTTCGAAATGGTCTTGGTGCTTAAGAAGCATCAGTGTTCTTTCCACGCCCTGAATGCTACACTTAAATCATTTCTCTTTTTCTTCTTCATGTTTTTTTCTACTTATTTTCTTCTGGGTTTTTTTTTGCATGTATCTGTAGAGGGACTTTTTTTTGTTGGCATTCACACATCGTCTAATGAAGAAGAAGAACAAATATAAGTAGAACCTTTAAATGTATATGAAATGTTTTTGTATTTATTAATAGGTAACCAATTGCGAGAAGTTATACTGACCTGTTTGACTATATGGTGAAATAAATTATTTGGAAATACATGTGTGGGTCAGAAGAACTCAAAGACACCCTTCACCAAACTCAGGCACAAACGCTATCACATCATAACAAAAACTAATGTGTGATCTCCGGGCATGGGATGTTGCCTGCCTCTCTAATGGACTTGGTAATTTGGCCTTACTTTTCTCATCCAAGAAACTGGGAAACTGACCTAGACAACCTGTGAAGTCTCATCTTACTCTAACTTTTTGGTCATAAATAAAACTATAAGTTAAAACTGTTCACCTGTCTTATTTCACCTACAGCTTTTAAATCATATTCAAGCACTTAAAATGTAGGTATATACCTCATCGAAAGACAGGACTACAATGCAAATATAACACCAAATTATACATGATATACTAATAAATATTTTATTAATGAACATGTATCTTAAAATTTCAGAACTATGGCTAAAATTAAAATATCTCCAGAGATGAAACTATTCCATCTTCAAAATGCAATAATATTTAAAGACTTTCAAATAATATTAGCTATTAGAAAATATCTTCTCTAGTTGACATAATCAAGCTAAAATGAGTTTTATTTTAAAAACCATTTTTCTCATTCTAAAACAATACATGTTTATTGTAAAATATTTGAAAACATACAAAAAGGAATAAAGAAGTACATATGTATTTATTCACTAAATTAGAATCTGAAAGTAAATACAGTTTTGTTTCCTCCTTAGGAAGTCCATGAGCATTTTCCTATACTATTTAATATTTTCCACAGACTTGGGTTGACTGATAGAATAATATCACAAAGGATAGACCTATGTAAAATGCTATGTTGTAAAATAGCATTAACCTGTATTATATTTTATTTTAAGAGCTATGGAGCTATTGTGAAAATTTAGGACAATCGTGAAATAGAATTCTACAAGCCAAAAAATAGCTATATAAAAATTTTACATGCACTCATTTCTCATGTACGTATTACTACCACTTTTTAAAAATCAACTTCTGACATATTTACATACACAAAAACACACACATTTTAAGTGCACTGTCAAGTTTATAGTTCCATGACCCTGGCACATGCGTACACCTGTGCAACCATCACCATTATCAAAAAATAGAACATTTCCATCAGCCCCCAGAATTTCCCTCATGACCCTCTGCAAGCAGTCTTCTAATCCCACCCTCAGCCCCAGGCAATCACTACTCTGCTTTCTGTCACTATGGATTAATTTTGCCATCTCTAGAATTTCATATAAACAAATTACATAGTATGAACTATGTGTATCTGGCTTCTTTGCTCAACAGATTGTGACAGAGATTTATCCATAACTTTGCCTATACTTCAAACTTTTTATTGCAACATAGTATTTCATTGTATAGATATACTACCGTTTGTTCACGTATGGTTCATTTCCAGTTTGGGGTCATTATGACTAAAGCTGCTATGGACATTCAGTGCAACTGTGTACGCAGGCATATGCTTTCATTTTTCTTAAACACCCATGAGTAGAATGACAAATCTCTAGAATAAAAGAGGAGCCTGGGGCATTCTGAGGATGTAAACAGTACCTTAAACTGTGTATGGTTCAACCTCCTGCCATTCATGCAAAAGAGATGATCAGTATTATATTCCCAAGAATGAGAATATGATTGGCTTGGCTTGGATCACAAGACTGAAAGCCAATCAGTAGTGGAGCAGAATTTGATAAGGGGAAAAGAAACGAACGGGAGCTCATTCTGGGTAGAACACACAGACACACAGACACACACACACACAAACAAAGTCAGACAGTAAACTAGATCAATAAGTAAATTAAATGGTAGGTTATAATATGAAATATACTATGTAAAACTATAAAAAGGAGAACATGAATGGTGTAAGGGGTCAGGTGTAGGGAGGAAGAGAGGGCTGGATGCAATATTAAAAGTGCAGTCAGAATGGCCTCATCAAAGATGTGACATTTAAGCAAAACCTTGAAGGCTGTGAATCTGTCTTGTCTACTTCGCTTTTTCCCAAGATCTTCTTTGTTCCTATAGTGTAACGTCATTGAAGTGAGCATGTAAGATCTTGATTGTTTGTTATGTATTAATATTTTAAAATTGAAAATTAAAAATCAGCATTTATTTCTAAGGCACTTGTTTTTAAAAATGAAAGAGGCACCCAGGAGTAAGTTTGGGAAAAAGAAATTTCAATTAAAAAAAAAACACCATTATCAACATTTTCCCACTGTTTTTCTTTTTTTTATATTTCCTCCAAGATGCCTAGGTACATTTATCCATTGTTGAGTTCATTTTGTATTCTGTTTTCCCCTTTAACTACCTATCATATCATTTTTTCCCATCATTTTAAAGTATTGGATGTTACTCCATATATGCATGTATCCTAGTTTATTTAACTTTTTTTTACCTCTAATGGAAATGTAAACTCTTTTCCATGTGTTAAAATTATAATAAACACTGTTCTAAACATCTTAATGGACTCAAATATTAACAGAATATGATTTGGGAATAGGATTCTTGGAATGTAGTTTTTATCTTTCGGTGGTTTAGAAAAAGTTTCATTCTCTTAAATTCCAGGTTTGCAAATCAGAAGTCTCATGCCTATCAGATTCTCTTTCTTTTTCAAGTAAACTTTTAAAAATTGTATATGAAAATTTATATGATTTTAAATTTATACTTTTTCAGATAGGTCTCTAAGATATGTATATATGTGTGCCTCTTTTCAAAAAATTCTCCTTTGAATTCATTGATTGTTTTAAGTCTGAAAATTCAAATTTCATTATAGCTCAGAATTTTTAAAAAATTGCTTTGATGTTTGCTTTTCACTTTTTGTTTATTCTGAAACTGCTTCTAGCCTGCATATCATTAGGTTAGCTTCAGTCTGGCAAATATCCCTGGAGTCAGGGATACCTGTTATAAGGGAGACTGTAAGAGTCTAGATCAGAGCAGAAACAGAGAAGAAATTTGAAAAACATTTGAGTAGTACTTAGCTATATATATACAATCAATAGAACTCAGTGATAGATTAGCTGTTGGGGGTGAGAGAAAAAGAGGAGTTTATCAGGCTTCTTTTGGACCAGGTGGATGGTTGGAACTTCATAGAGGTATAAAGCACAGTAAGGAACTCACAGTAAGGCTACGTTTATCTTGGAGGTGATGTATCCTCCCACCCTCTTATGGCCTTTCAGTGGTGTATTTATAAGAAACAACTCTTAGAGGAGGACTGAGAAAATTAACTACATATGTATTTGAATTTTGATATCTATGGCCACATTGCTCTCCTTAAAAGAGAATTTGTTCTTTGTTTTTTTGTTTTTCGGTGGGTGGTTGGCTTGGCACATAAAAAGTGATGCCTCACTGTCGATTTTATTTCCACTTTTTTTCTTCTTGGAAGTAAGGATGAGTTGCTCTACATTTTTATGTCTACTTTTGGATTACTTGTTCTCTTCCATTGAGCCTATCTATTCCAATGTTAACAGTTTTAATCATTGTAATGTTATATTTAATTAATCTGTTGAGGCTAATCCCGTTCATTACTCTTGTTTTAAATAAATATTATTGCATGTTTATTTTTCACAGAAACTTTAGAATCAGATTGGCTTGGAAAATTTTCATGTTGCTGATGTTTTTGAATTGAGATTAGTTCCATTTCAACAATTTCTAGAATAATTTGGAGAACCTTGTTATATTTGTGATGCTGCATTTTCTTAGTCAAGAGAAGTATCTCCATTCACTTATTCACATTTTTTTCCTTCATGCATAACATTAAGAACTTTCTAAGTGGTTTTTATTTGCAGGAAAGAAAACTATCGTGTTTTTTTAGATAGGTACTTTATAGTTGATTCTCTTTGATTTTCCACCTATACAAGTATTTCATTTGTGAATGACAATCTTGCTTCCAATTTTTATAAATCTTTTTTTTTTCTCTCTTGTCTGATTGCTTAGGCCAGTAACTCCAAAACATACTCGGACAATAGTGATGACAGTGTGCATTCATGTTTTGTTTTGTTTTCCCTGACTCTACTAGAAATAATAGTAAACATCTTATCGCCTTTCAGCAGAGATACCATGCACTTTTTGTACTTTGCAGTTCTCCCGGATATTCTTCGCTGTCATTCTTTGTTCAATACCTTCAACCTTGAAAATTCCCTCCGTTGGTTTAAAGATAAAAAGCAAAGTTCTTTGTCATCCATTGCTTAGAAAGGAAAAAACTGTAATAGAGGGAAAAGTGCTAAACTCCATAGCAATAGCCAAAGCAAAAGGTTAGAAAAAGTTCCTCTAGGAGAAGGCCATGCCCTCTAGTCTCTCTATAGAAGGAAGAACAGGAGCGTGGGGAGGAGTCGGGGCCACTCCCGCCCCCTGCCCAGCGTCCGTGCCACCCGCAGAGATGAAATGTGAGCCCGGGTGGCCCAGGACGCTGAAGCGGCCGCCTACCCCGCGCCAGAGCGCCGTGGGGCAAGACAAAGACACCGCCGGTCCCCAGCGCAGCCCGGCCCCGGCCACGCGCGCTCCAGCCCCGCGGAGCTGCGCACCCGCCACCTGGGCAATGGCCAGGGGTCCCCTCGTCCCCTCTCTCTGCGGCGCTGCTCCCTCCATCTGACCGCCCCGCATTCTCCCCATCCCCTCCTGGTCCCGGCTCTCCATTCGCTCCCAGCCTCTCTCCAGTCTGTCCGTCTGTCTTGGCGCGCAACCTCCGGCCACCGGCTTGGATGGACACGCCGACGCCGCCCGGGCATCCAAGGGTCTTGCTTTCGAAGTTGGTCCTGCTCTTTGTCTACGCAGGTCAGTGACAGAGGGCGGCGGGAGAGGGCCAGGGGGCTTGGGGGCTGCGCTTGGGTCACAGTCCCGGCTAAGGAGAGTTGGGCGAGATGGACCCGGATCTTTGTGGCAGAGACTGCTTGGTTTCGGGTAGCGACGGCAGAAACCCGCGCGCTTCGACCCTCCTCTCGACCTTCATTCATGCGATTTTGTTTTGCTCCTTTTCCTTTTCTTTCTTTCTTTCTTTTTTTTTTTTTTTTTCATTTCTTTTCTTTTCTTCTCTCTTGGCAATCCGCTGGGTTTAGGGGACTGTACTCTCTAGGTACCATAAAATGTATCCAATTGTACCCACGACTCCAAAGGAATCTGAGGGTGCAGTCAGAGCTGAGGGGTGAGAGGAAAGCATTTTAAAAAGCACCTGAAGTTTAGAGGTGTTGCTGAAGTTTTAAAATAAACTAATCTGGTGACTTTTCCCTTTCTCTATAGGCTACCCAATGCCCCCCCCCACCTTTCACTTTCTGAATATTCCAGGTTTTCCCTTTTAGAAAAAAAAAAAAAATCTTATAACTTGGTTTTGTTCTTTGGAAGATTCACAGTGTGGTAGACTGGGCAGGTGGATGTGTTGAGTTAAAATACACAAGAGGCATGAATTCCCCCAGCCTAATCAGTTTTCATTGATTGATTTGTTCATAGGTGGAGGGCATCTCGTTTCCCTCCCTCTAGTTATTCTTAGTGAGAATTGGTAATTATTAATAAAGCAAAGTGGGTTTTCTTGTTCCGTGATTAATAGGGAGCCCTAAGTGCCCTTTCATTGGTGATTTGGGTATAAAGTTAATTACACTTGTGTTCTTTGCATCTGTTCATATACACAAAACAGAGCAAGCTAAAAGCAAAGTTTTTTGTGAAATGTTTTCATGTCTTTAACTTCCTATGACACAAATCACAGGCTTACCCATGACCCTGCAATACTAAATATATGTGTGGTGCTGCAATTTACCTTTTGATATTCAAAAAGATACTGCAACTAAATGAAGATATTTTCCACCTTGCTGCCTGAACATCAAAAGAATTGAATTTCTCATTCAACCTTGCCACAAAGGAGTCATCATAACTCTTATAGAAATTTTCAGTCTGTATATTGAAATGTAAACGTAAATTAGTACCTGTCTAGAAGTTACCATTTTAAAGGTATTTTGATCTGACTTTCTAATATAGAAATTGATAAAAGTAGGATAAGTCTTTCCTATTTAAAGAAGAGAGTCCACATCCTAATGTCTACAACATTTATTTCTTTTCCTTAAATCTTCAGCATTTTCAGCATTTGAAGGGCTAAAAGAATCAATTGCATTAATATTACTTTTACATGTAAAAAATGTCTTTATTAGTTCTTTTAAAGCAATGATAATTCTTTCCCCCACCTCTGATCATTAAAAGAAAACAAAAATAAGAAAATAGCAAAAAGCAAATGAAACTTTAATACCCTCCTTCACATTTACTCAACCTACTCCATTGAACCATAACTTTTTTGTTGTTCTTTTGTCTATTTTATTCCCTGTGTGTGGTAAAGTGAAAGCTTCTGTTTCACACACCTGTCCTTCCCTTCCTCCTTTTTCCCTAGTGCTAGGTGCCCAACTCCCAGCACTTGGGAAACCAGCAAAGCTAACTAGCAGCAAAGGTGATTGGTTTAGAAAGGTTTCACTCCATTCATTTCTCTGCTTCCAAATCCTTCCCTAGTAGGCTACAAAGTAGTTGCAAGACAATGCTAGGTTGACTTAGTGTCTTTGATAAGAAACATTTAGCTGATAAGTTCTTTGGTGTTAATTATTGAATTCTTATTTCAGAGGCTTTTTTATGCTTTTCATACTCATTCAACTAATATTTATTGAGATATGTTGAGTGATTCCTAGAACAGAGCAGAGGTCCTGCTCTGAGTCTTCTCCAAAAAAAAAAAAAAAAAAGAGTGCTCATAAATATCTCTAATATGTAAAAGGCTGTTTCACAGGAGAGGTAAAATCATGTACTGTAGGTGTTCAAAGGAGAGGACCTTATTGCTGGCTTATGAGATAAGCTCTATGACAGCAATATCTATTTTGTTCAGTAAAATGGAGCTCAATAAATATTTGCCCAGGAAAACTAAATTGAGGAGGACTTGAAGGAACTAGATCTTTGAAATATAGGGAAGCCCTGGACAAAAGGAGATTGAGTAGGATATAGTGTGAACAAAGGCAAAAATAGTGAGATGTATATATGCGACAATGGATATTTCAGTTTGGTTGGAACTAAAAGATATGACTGGAATTGAGGGCTGGGGTTAGATGCTGGAATGTCACAGAAATAAAAATAGTTCAGAAACCTTGTTAAATGAATTGTTGGTTTTATGGGACAAAAACCTAAGTAGATGTACTATACATAACCTGAATTATTTTCCCCACAACAAATGCAATAAATTCACATTCCATTTAGTTAGGAAAATGAGAGCAAGGTTTCTATACCTAAAGCATTGTGTTTTACTATAGAGTCACTTTTGGAAAGAGACCCAATGAAGTGTTGATATTATCATCCAACTCCCACTGCAGGTTACAAAGACAGGATTCGGTCAAGGTTTTACCTTCCGGGACTCGGCTGGTAACTTCTGTCCCCTCCCTTTCCTTCCTCTCTTATCTTAGCTGTGGCTTGCAAGAGCCATTCCTAAGCAAGTGCTTCAAGCCAGATATTGCTTTTCCTGTTCTGCACATTCCTTAAGGGAGGGCAGAGAGGTGAGTTGGGAAACCTTATTCCAGATCATGCCTTTCAGTAAAAAAAAAATCAAAGAAAATTTGAAGTGGCTAATTTTCAGGCATATTAACTTGAATATTAGAAGTATCTTGGAGGACAAATTGGAATATTCTATTCTTTCTCAAGTGAGAAAAAGTTCCTATATGGCCCAAACACTGATCTTCATAGAATTATTCTCAAATAAGCCAGAAAAAGTAACTAACATAACAAAATAAGCGTTGAGGTGTGGTGGAAAGCTCAGTTTGGAAATGTTATGATTGTGAATGTATTTGCCATACTGTTAAATCTCCCCCTTTTAGGTAACTGAATTCTGGGAAGTAAACGAGAGCACTGGAAAATATCCTAAAAATCATGACCAATATGTGACATGATCTAGATATTTGCTGTGAGCATAATCCAACTTCTTGGCTACGAAATTTTGGGCTTGGTTTCCTGTAACATTGGCTCAGAATATTTTGATAACACCCTGTCCTTATAACAGTAGTCGCTGGAATACGATAGTAGTAACTGAATCTTTGATACTCATGGAGAGTTTAATAAACTGTCATTGTCCTGGGCATTATTCAAAAGGCACCCATGAGGTGGGTCCTTGGCCAAATGGGTAGCGCATTGGACTTCTAGAGGTTGGAGGCAGTCACACGGCACCCATGAAGTTACTCACACATTCATTGTCCTACTCTGACAGAATAATGGGGACATTAGCTCTCTCACAATCTAAATGGCTTTTAAGAGCATGAAGCAAAACATTTCTGCTAAGCTCTTGAGATAGTCTAAATATTTGAATAAACAGCACTAAAAATGAGAGCTATAGAAATTCACTGAGAAAACTATAAAATAAGTAGCTTTAAAAAGTATGATGTACTCTTCAAAATGCATTTATTGTCAGTATATTAGTTTCTCCCTTGGATCTAAATCATTAGATTGTATTTCTGTCTTCAAATGTTAAAAGTGGATTTAAGTAGAGTTACTAAATCTTACAAAGTAATTATTTTCCCCTTCTTACCACAACCCAGAGGAAATCCTCAATGGCTGTGTTTATCAATCTATGATATAAAAATAAAAGTAGGGAAGAGAGGCTAGTCTAGAACCTTATTTTAGAATTCTGAGTACAAAAATGAAGATCTAAATGTACTGAAGAGTGGTCATTGGCTGATTAAGATGTGAAATAGAATAATTTTTCCTGAGACTGTGATTTTACAACATTAACTGCTCATGTGTTGTTTTTATCTTATAGACAATTGCATTGCTCAATGTGGCAAAGACTGCAGGTCTTACTGCTGTGATGGAACCACACCCTACTGTTGCTCCTACTATGCTTATATTGGGAATATCCTTTCGTAAGTATTAGTGAAATTTGGCAATATCGATGTTTTTTCCATTATTCAGTTATACTTTCAAAGAATACTAAGGCAAGAGATTTTAAGATTGGTTGTTAACATAAAATCTTTACAAGAGACATTAAACACTCATCACTATCTAATGTGCTATATTATTTGACAAAATGTGCAAATTAATATACAAAATAAATTGCCTTTATTAGAATACAGTTAAAAAGAAGTATTCTTTTATTGTTCAATTTTGTATATTATAATAATGTTTTAAGTAGGCATCATTTGATTGATAATATTTTAACAATGTCAATGACATTTTTTTCTGCTTTGTTGAAGGATTTGTAGGTCAAAATTTGTTATTTAATTATGGCCAGTTTATTTTGTCATTATTTATTAATTTAATGTATCCCCTGTATGTCAGGGAAAGAGAGGTTATGAATGAAAAAACAGTTGAGATATGAAATGTCAGTTCTCACATAACACATATAAAACAACTTCAGGTAACAAGTTTAGAGCCTAAGAAAAGGTAAGTATGAATAATGTAAAGTGACAAATAACAAAGCACATACACATGAAAGAAATACACACATGTAGAATGTGTTAAGCATTTCCCTGTCAAAAATTAAGAATTTTACAGCTGTGTCTGGGCAAACGGAAATGAAGAAGCAGATCCTGCTTTCAGGGTTGTATGTCTGGAAAAAGTGTGCATTTGTCAGTTCCTCCAGAGAGGAACACACAGCTGAGAAGTAAAAGGTAGAGAATTAGGAACAGAAGAATTTATTGAGTCAAAAATCCCATGGCTTTCAGATAGCAGCAGCAGTCTAGCCTCTGTGCTCTTTGGTTTTTGTTTTTCAAGTGAGTGTCAGGATGATTTGGGAAATTCTGTTCTGTTCCTAAACAATTCTGCTTAACTCGTGCCCTATGAAGGCTCCAGTGGAAACAGGAAATAATAGGCACTAAGTCATACGTGCCCAGCTATTTTAGGGACATGTCCATTGAGACGGCTTATAACACATCCTCAGTTTCCTGAGAATAGAAAACTTGGCACCACATAAAGCTTCTAGAGTCAACGTTGGAGCTGATGTTAGAGAGTATGTCTGAATACAGACCAAAAAATCATACTTTGGGATGCTCTTGAGCACCATCATAGCCATGAAAGAAATGTCAGGCTGTAAGGAAAAATAACGTATGGATTTTAAGCACTCTTTGAAATGCAAATAAACTCTTCATAAAATGTTGAATTTTTCTTCATGGATGATTTGGTGGAAAAGAAATTAAGACCACTTCCTATATTAGAAAACTGTCAGAGTGATTTTTTTATGGGAATTTGTCAGCCCAAATATAAATATATAATAATTTTCACAGTTGTATATCCCTTTACAGTATTTAAAGTAATTTATAATAAAATACATTATTAATAAATTAAAATATTATTTTCAAGTGGTTTGCACATGGCAGATGCTGCTGCTTCAAGTAGAGGTGTGAGTGGCCCAGCAGGTGGTTTAGATTTGGGGACCATGAGGTCAAATTGATTCTGTAATTCTTTGGTTCTCTGGCTTCTGGCCCATTTCTCTGTGCACTAACTACACCACGGTCTGCATTGTGCACCTATTTCTCACTTCATAGCTACCTCCACCTTGGTAAGTGTATATAAAACACACGATTAGTTACTTATCAGAATATTTAAATTTTTTTGAATTTATAGATGTGTTTTATATGATTTGTATTTGCAATGAAGTTCACATTCTTGTGGTACATGTTCTAGATCTTTAATTTCACCATTGGTTAAAATTAAGAATTAGTTGAGTTGATACATGTATCTAGGTTACTAGGAGCAGGTACTTGTTATTTTTGGAAAAAAAAAGAATTGTGTTTTGGAAAGGAAAATAAACACAGATGGCATTATATTTCAGGCCATCAAAACTGAACTTTCTATTCAAACTCTAAAGCACGAAGTAAATCTCATGCTAAACAATTCTTAGCCAAAAAAAGAGGGGACTTTAAAATATTTTCCTACTGGATAAAGGAGAATACATTTTCAGGATATCCAGTTATTGTTTAACATTTGAAAAGAATTCTTAACTCCACCCAAAGCTTTTTTTTTTTTAAGTTGGGGGAGTGTAGTAGGTATTAAAAAAATTTATTACAAGAATGCTTATAAGAGTTCTTTCATGCACATGTTTTCAAGTATTGCTGTTTTGAAATTCATAAACTATGTTTCCTTTCTTTCAAGCATCCAGGCACATTCTTACTGAAATCATTGTAATTGTCTTAATAGAAAGTCAGCTCTTTGCGATTATCAGAAAAGTAATAAGGGAGAAAGCAAATAAACACAAGGAAATGTTATGCAACATAAATGAGTAATTTTATAATTTGATTTATATTTTTCTGTTTGCAAAGTAAAAATGTCGGCTCAGTTTAAAATGAGCTAAAAAGAGTGTAAAATGTCATTCAGGACATTCTAGAATGGTCCACTTGACTCTCCTTAACCAAGGCCTCCCCAGTCATCCAAATAATCAGAGTTGAGTAGAGATGTTTAGTCTAAAATATCTAAAATATATGTTTAGTCTAAAATATATTATCTAAAACATCGAAAATATATGTTTAGTCTAAAATATATTATCTAAAATAATCAGAGTTGAGTAGAGATGTTTAGTCCTTAATTCTGTTAACTTCACTTGCCCTTGCTGGTTTGCAAACCAACCATTAAGATGTGTTCATAAAACAATCACAGGAGCTAATTTTCAATTTATCTCTTCATTGCAAAGTCTTATTTTACTTAGTCTCTTCCCTTTTTTAAGATGTTTTCTATTCTAAATATGATATTTAGAATAGATTTTTCTATTTAGAATATTTTTAAATTTAATATTTAGAATATTATTAATATTTAATATTTAGAATAAATTTAATATTTAGAATATTTTTCTATTCTAAATATTCTTTTGACAAATAAATTCAGATTTCCTGTCTCCCCCACCCCTAATTTTTTTTTCTTATTTGCATTAGGAACTGTAATATTTATTTCTCTGTCATGAAAAACTTTAAAAATTAGTTAAAGATAGCATGTCTACTTTGGGTCATCATGGTCATAGATACTGACTTCGATGTAGGAGAATCATAGTGTTATCTTCCAGAATTTAAGGAATAATTTTTACAGTATTCAGCATGTTCAATTCAATCAATTAATTATTTATAAATGCACATTGAGTGACTGTTTCCATGGCAGTGCTGGCCTAGGTCCTGGGATCCAAAGATGAAGAAGTGATGTACTCTGACTTCTAAGGCTTCAAGATCTAATAAGAGAAGAGAGTGCAGACAAGTAATTCTTAGTGAATGAACTAATCTATGAAGTGTTATTAGAGGATTGGAAAGAGAGAATATAGCTAAGTCTTTGTGCACGTGCGTGTGTGTGTATGTGTATGTGAGTGAGGAAATTCATCATAAACATGAAATTTGATCAGAATTTTAAAGGAAGAGTAGATATAAATAAATGGACAGTGAATAAAGGGAAATGCTTTCCAGACAGAGAGACTCTTGCATACAAAGACAAAGATTTAAGAAAGGAAATGGTTCATTTGAGAAAACTCATGTTCTTTAGTGTAGCTGGAGCAGGAAGGGTAAATGGTGGATATAATGTAAGAATAAATAGGTAAAGCAAAGGATGTATCCTTTTATTGCAAAGCTAAAACAAAATAATTCAGTACTTTTCTGGAAATAAGACATATGGTTTTATATAGAAAGGACACATTCTTAGACATCACTGAGACAGTGGACAAAGGTGAAAAGACTCCAAATGAAGACAGTATTTTTTATTCCATATATCAAAGATTTGGAATGTATACTTTGAAATGGTTACACTCTTTGAAGCCATTTATGACAGAATATGTGACTTTGTAATTATTACTCCATTTAAGAGATTTTTGACCATGAAGGCAACTGCCTGAAGATTAGAAGCCACAGGATACTTAAAAATGAGTATTGGGCCAATACTTATTTGAGAATGAAATTTGAGAAATAAACAATTTACTACCAGATTGATTCTGGAACATTTCATTCAGCAACTCTGCTCTGTGGAAGATAAATATTCTGTGATGAATATGGAAAGGGATATTTAAATTTTGCTGCTGATGAATTTTTTTTACATTCCCTAGAGAGTAGATCAATGTGAAGATGTGGTTTCTTTAGAATTGGTAGACTTTAAGGGACTAGAAGGTGCAATTGAGGGGCTAATTATTTTTATCCAGTGGAACAAAGCAAAAACAGGACATTACTGAAAATGAAGGTCCTTGACTACATAAGACAGTAATTGTACAATATTGAATATGAACAAAATATTTACAAGTTTGGACATACTGAGCCAGATGACAAGATACAGAATTAACCTCCTAACTCAGAAATAGGGTTTAGAGTTTTCACTTTGCCATTGTAAAATGCTGATCTGTCTAAGGATTCTTCAGAGCACCATCTGGCCAACATAAAATCCCCATAGGAAAAAAATTCAAGAGGAAGAACTAATAATGGAGATTCTGGTGGGATTAAATTTCTTTCCTTCTCAATGAAATGTGAAAGATGTATTACCCACAGTTTTGCAAAGACAGCTAATAAATATCACAACTGTGATTTTAGAGCCATGCTATGCATGAAAGCAAAAGTGAGTTAAAAGATAAAGGTTTCATATTTTCAAATGGCATTTGAGGTCCTATGATCATTAAGTAGCTTAGTGTTCTGGATTAAACACGAGAGGCTGTTCAAACACAGACAGAAATATAATGCATTTAAAAAAGCCTTTGGCATTTAAAAAAACATCACTTAATTCATTAAATTGAAATAATCTCAGTACTTACATATGAAAAAAGCACCTGTAAAAAGTACATATTAGCCGGGCGCGGTGGCTCACGCCTGTAATCCTAGCTCTTGGGAGGCCGAGGCGGGTGGATTGCTCAAGGTCAGGAGTTCAAAACCAGCCTGAGCAAGAGCGAGACCCCGTCTCTACTATAAATAGAAAG